TCACCGCAAAATATGAATGGTTAACATGCATTTTAGACATTTTAGAATTTAGAAATACATTTTATAACAAAAAAAAAAAAAAAAAAAACGGAAAAAACGGCGTTGAAACCGTGAAACCAAAGTTCTCAATGGATACACTAAATGACAGCGTCGACAACGCAAAAAGCTGCCAGTGAAAGCGCTTCATTCTCCGATTTGCCGCCAGAGTATTTCTTAGCAACTGACAGGGGAGATATTTATATTATTAAAGGGATAAAAATTTGATGGTTTTCATTAGTTTGCTTCTAATTCAAATGGAAACCCTTCCAAAGTCTGGTGTCAATATCTAGCAAATGCAGCTTGCAAAGAAAGTCGTGTCCGATAGCCCGGGGCTAGTAGATTTTGCGATCGGGCTAATGGATTCTGTGGTTAACTTGCCCGTGGCAAGTGAAGAGTTTTCGGAGAATTGAAATTACAGAAGTACTGTAAGACAAATGTTTTAAATTTCTAATCAATTCATGCGGACCGAAAGTAGCTCTCACGAAGTGAAATCTGCAGAAACAAGACGAAGTGTCGCATTACATGTCAGACGAGACATAATGAGATCCCGTGCATAACGTAGAAGCAGGTACTGAAAAAAACTTTGGAGGTTTTTTGAATAGTTTAGAGTAGCTGTTTTTTCCACGTTCAAAAAGACATGAAATCCGTGCGAAGAATTTAAGGACCGTTTCAAATGCTTCGATTATCTGAATCCATTCGAACGACTTTTTCAGCCCATTTTAATTTGCCTATCTCGGTTTCGTTGTACAGTCAGCTCAGTTCAACAGTTCCCTGCTGCACCAGAGTCAAGAATACATCCAGAAAATTATACATTTTAACCTTTCTACAAAAGTTAAGTAGATGTGAAGGGGGAACTCTGACACATTTTGAAAACAAAGTTGATTTCAAGGCAACTCGTAAATTTACAAGGGTGAATAATATTCACAATGTCTTACTCGTGAGTTCTGAGGAGGGGTATGAATATTACCAAACAGTTTCTGACGCGTCATATTTTTTTCAAATTATTTTCTTTAAACTGTTTCTGACACGTTAGAAATATTTATGTTCCAAGTTGATTTTCTTCATCAGAAACTGTTTGTTTCTGAGCGTCAGAAATTTTCAAATTCATTCAACTTGCTTGTGACGCTTCAGAAAATTATCAAATTTACTTTTCTCAAACTGCTTCTGGTGTCAGAAACATTCATATTTTAAATTTATTTTCTTGTTTTTGACACGTTAGAAATTTTTCAAATGTATTTTCTTCAACTTGTTTCTGACGCGTCAGAAACATCGATGTTTCGAATTTATCTTCTTTATCAGAAACAGTTTGTTTCTGAGCGTCAGAAATTTGTTCAAATTTACGTTCTTCAAACTGCTTCTGACGCGTCAGAAATTTTTCTACTTTGTTTTTTCGTCAACCTGTTGCTTTCAAATTTATTTTCTTATTTCTGACGCGCCGGAATTTTTTTTTAATTTGTTTCTGCGACAAACAAGTCTAGTTGTGGTGAATTTGCATAGCCTTTGTAAAAACATGTCTTTTCAAACTCAAATCTTATTTCGTTCTGTTTACGAGTGATCCGAGTTTTATTTTTAGTAAACGTCTTTAAACTTTTCTCTTCTTACCTCAACGTCAATCTCAGATGAACTTCTTGCTCCATTTCTTTATTCAGGAAATAATGCTGCTCATTATTGCTCTCGCGCAAAATTGAGTTGAACTCAACGTCAGAGAGAATTATTTGCAATCGCCTTTAAAAACAACCTGCTGACTTACAGGTGCTTTTTCTCTGGAATTGAAATAGTTTTTTCTTGTTTTGTAATTTTTTTTATTGATTTGTCCAATAATACCAAATGAATTTAGGTTGAAATGAGGTTTCTCATAACTGACGTGTCCTTGGCAAATTAGAGAAAATTAGATCCGTTTGGCACACAACATACACTGTGACAGGAGTAACATCGGCTGTATTGTGAACAAGCGGTAAGGCGGTTTCGCAGAGTGGAATTTGGGATAATAGCTCAAACCTCAAAGGAAGGTCATTGATTCTCGTCGGTCACGAAAATTCGCATACATTAGATATAATTCCTAAGTGACATTTTTCGTTGAGTTGGGACTCCAGAATAATATTTAACCCTATCAAGGAGTTGCCCGACATTTCACCAAGCGCGGACTTCCGATTCAAAGAAGGTGATAATCACAGTCTCGGATCTGTTTTCGTTTACGTCTCATATGTTGGTCCGGAAGCAGATCATTCAGCAGCTTATCCTGGAAGAAAAAAATTCAGCGATGAAGGTGGAAAAGCAATTAAAGGAGTTCTTTTGTTTTCACGGACATTACTTTCATCGATATTTTGTTACCTTTTACTCCATAATTTTTCTTTGTTTGTGTCATTCGTAAAGTTCTTTACCGTAAATTTTATTCATTCAGATCTACCGTTTAACTGCTTGAACCGCCTAACTGTTTATACTGCCTTTATCAATCACTTTACGTCGCTTTACATCGTCTTTGATTTGCCATTTGGCCCGTACCTCGTACAACGTTTCAACTGCCTCAAATGTTAATTTCGCTTCAATACTTTAGTAAATTTCGTTTGTGCGTTGGACACATACGAGTGATTTTGGCCCCAATAGTTAATGAGCTCCACTTCAAGAGAAACCTTGAAGATAATAGCTTCAACATACTCCTTTTCGTGTTTTCTAGAGAAAAAGTGTAAAAACATCAATTGCTGTTGGGAACACAGCGACCAAAACAAATAGCGTCAGTTTCTGGCGCCAACTCCGCTCCACTTTCCGAGCCAAAAGCCCCAGGGAAAATTATAATAAACTACCAGTGTCACGCTGAAACAAATTATATTGAAAAAATGAAAACTAGAGACTCTTCGGGCACAAAGTTCATTTAATTAAAGGTTCTCTTTTCACATTGTGTTTTAATTTTACAACAACAACAGCAACAACAAAAAAGTCTGGGCTCTTAACTTATAAGTGATAATTCCCATCCGAAAGAATTTTAATGGAAAATTTAAAAAACTACTATTTCGACGACGAAATGACGGTCCAAAACATACACGGCCACCATGTTCCAACGTTTCCTGGTGTCTCTAAAAACGCTAGAACAGTGATAGAACAGCGATAATGGTACCTGGTACTCCAAATTAAAACTAAATCATTTCAAACGGGCTCAAGCTTTGCATAATAGGCACACGATTTTTGATCAGAGTATTTTAGATCAGCGGATGTATGTAAAAGTCACGCGCGAGGAGAGAAGGGTCGTAATTTTGCAAGAACTTGCGCCCGCGCTCTGCTGTGAGCATCATGCTTTATAAGATCAAAATGAAGATCGACCTCATCGCCTGAAGAAGACTAGCAGTATACAGTCGAAACGTCGCGATCTACATCACACGTGACTACATTGTGAGACAAACGAAAAAAAGAAAAAAAACTTAGCTTTTATTGTTATTCACCACGATGAATAACCACAACCTTTTCTACGAAATTCCTGTCCCATGTTGTCATCTCTGGGTAATTACTTCTACGATCAACAATTATATCTTGAACAAGTTTATGTATTCCTACAGCCAAAGCAAAATCTGTCACAAAATTTTTTTTTTATCTTGTCCTACATTTTCAGTACATATCAATTAAAGCTTTAGCATGTTCAAGTGACGCTTCTGTCAAATAGGTTTCAATCGTTGAAAGCTTTTTAATCAAGGATTGATAATGCTGGTTCTCGGAACTCGATCGTGTTTCAAGTTGAGGATCATTATAGCAGAACGAAGATACGAGTATCTTTTCGTCACCAACATCTTTGGTCATCTGTTCACTTTCTCGAGAAAAACGATCAGTCACGGGTTTTCCTTCTCTGGTGGTCACGTTACAGTTATCTTTCGCATTACCGTCGGAGGATTTTGTGTCTTGGGAAAGTTTATTGTGACGCTCTTCAGAGTGGTGTTTGTTTTCAATTGCTGTTTGTTTAGTGTTTGAGTTTTTATTGCCTCTCCTGTTGTTTTAGAGGCTTCACTTCCCATTGGTCATAAAAACTAAGGTTATTATCTATCATTGACAACACTAGCCACTGATGACTCGCGTGAATTATCGTTTGCGTGTTGTAGCCGCCATATTGTTTGGCTTCAGTCACCCTGAGCAACCAATCCTAAAATGTACAGTTTGCTGCGCTATCGACACAGCTGCGACAGCGGAGACATAGCGGTCAGACGTTTGTGCATGTGCAATGTTGTAATGATCATTAGCAACGAAATGGAACGAACGCACCTTATCCACCGAGCAAGTGAACCCATTTTGCCGCTGTGTTGGTGTGTCGATTAGCCATCATGGTTGACGCTCTTTTAGGAAACAAGCGGTCTCAAACGAGTTACCATCAACCACACAAGCCAATAATTCACGGTGTTTTAAAAGCGTATAACCTTTGTCGGTGAGCTCAAAACAGAATGGTAAATCAACAGGGTTACCCGTACTTGAACAAGCTTCATGTCCAAAAAGTCTGGAGCTTTTCCTTTCCCTGGATTTGTTTTCTTTAAAGAGATTCTCTGAAAGTTTCAACTGTTTTCGCCTACATTATTTTGCGAGAGAGCGGTTGCTTCTTCTGTTTTCCATTGAAAATCTTCGCGGGAAACCGGGTTGCAGCCGGCCAGAATTGATCCCCTCACGCACGGCTGACGTTTGAACACTGTGTTATTTTAAGGCCAGACTCCTTATCATGTTGGATATTATTTCCTCTGTTCATACCTTAGCGGCTATAGATTCAAGCTACAGAGTCTTCTCAACATAACTAGATACGTGGTTTCAGTTTTTCGCCAAATTTTTCTCTGATTCTTGCTTGACATATGCTCCCTGACTACACCTAGAAGGTGGAACTATTTTCGTATCCAACCAGCCTTAGCGGGAGGAAATAAAGATGTCAATCTTCGACCCTACTGCCAAAATAAAAATGAGCTTGCATTAATTATGGATTTTTTCTTCTCCTCCTGCTTAGCATTAAAATAAGTGTCGGGCATCATCCATAGTAGAAAGCTATTCGCCCTTTAATTGAAGAACCACTGCTGTTCCTCAACCTTACAGTAGCTGTTGTTGAAAAAGAGCTTGTTTACAGGTGAGATATAAAGACAACAAAGCGTGTAGCATATGAAGACTGGAACAGTAAAATGTTCTTCTTGATCTTTTTCTTCCGATTTTGTCTCGTCAAATTTTGGTCTGACAATGCTTGTGAATTGTTTAGAGTAGCTGTTTTTTCCCACGTTCAAAAAGAAATAAAACCCGTACGAAAAATTTAAAGATCGTTTCGACTGCTTCGATTATCTGGATCCATTCGAACGCCTTTTTCAGCCCACTACATCATTCTTTTAAGCAAATTCTTTGACTTTATTTCTAGAAATCAGGTCAGAGATGGCACCTCTTTATAATGCTGGTATTGGTATTAACTTGTTAATTTTCTTCTGTCGTTAAATTTCGAAAGTTTTTTTCTTAAATTTTTTTCTACCGGATCCGTACGCTTTCAGCCCAACTGGGACCGTCACCCGACTCAACTTAACGTTTCGTGTTTCAGGACTGTTTAATTTCTTTTTTTAAAGATGTAAAAATATTTCTAACTTGATTCTAAATTACATAAAAGAGTATCGTTTAAAAAAATACCAAATGCTCGTTTACTAAGGTATTTTTGCTCCCAAAAATTTTTTACCGTTCAGATTTAATAGCAAAGGTTTGTTTTCATGGCAGGTCAAAAGAAAAATAGTGCCCAGTAAAATGGATTTTAACTCATGGAACATCTTCTGGGGTATATGTTTTGGTGTATTGGGGACTTTGATCACTGCAGGAAATATTCTCACCATCTGGATATTCTTCAAACAGAGACGCCAAAAACGCTCTTACTCTCTTCTCATAAGCTTGGCAGTTGCTGATTTGCTGGTGGGGATTTTTGCTGTCCCTTTTTATATAAAAGCAGTTGTATCACAGGGATATACATGGTTCTTTGTTTCCATCAGTGCTGACGTTTTCACTGGCATAACGTCCATCTACACTCTTGCGGTCATTTCCTTGGAAAGAATGTTCGCTGTCGGTTGGCCTCTTCGTCACAGAACTGTGAACTATCGTGTTTACATCTGCGCTATTAGCATACCGTGGATCATAGCGGCAATATTTACTACTTTAGTGGTGTTACGGGTGCTTAATATGATAGGGAGGGAGTATTTCTCTTATTGTCTTGTTTTAATTCCTGGAATGCCTCTAATAACTATATGTGTAGCAAACTTTGTTATTTGGAAGAAGCAGAAAACGCCATTTCGCGACCAGAATCACATCAAAAGAGAAGTGAAATTGGCGAAGACACTAGCTCTCATAACAGGAACATCACTTTTTACTTGGCTTCCTTTTCAAATTCTAAATATTTTGTTTGGATTGAAAGTCTCGGAAAATTTTCACCTTTTTCAATTAACAATATTTGTTACCAAAATTTTACAGTTTAGCAATTCATTTGTGAACGTGATAATTTATCCGCTCAGAATCCCAGAATTTAAGCGCACTTTATTCCAGATACTTAATTTCTGTGTAATTCCCTTTAGAAGATCCAGCACTAAGATATCTTCATCAGCCGGGACCGGGTCAGTTGTGTCCTTGATAACGTTTACAAATTCGACATTTTCACTATCAAACGTTCACCAGGAAAGTTCGCTTTAGGGTCTTAAACCGCTCAGGCACATAGACATTGCTATAATGGATGTGTAATATAAAAAAAGTATATATATATGTTCTTGTTAGACCCATTGTGCTTGCGCACTGTGCAAGACGAATCTGAACAAGAGCAATGAACAAGAACTAAATAAAGTCTGTGTAAAAATCAATGTGCCAGGATCAGGTAATTTATACAACTTTTAAGGTAAAAATGCATATAACATTTGAAATGAGATTAAACAAAACCCTTTGATCTCCAAAATGATGACCTGAGAGCAACAATTATCGGAAAAAATGTTAATTCCCATCCGAAAGAGGCTGTGTCTCTAAAAACGCTAGAACAGTGATAGAACAGCGATAATGGCATCACGTACTTTAAATTAAAACTAAATCGTTTCGTTATCTCATTGACATTAGATGAGCCCTGTAAATTGAGTGTGGTGGCAAGGTTTGGCAAGAACTTGTGGTAGTAGTTTACCAGGCCTAAGAATGAACGGAGTTGAGTCTTGTGTAACCCGTGCCAATCTACTTCGTGTCCACAATAAGTGATCTTCGTCTGGAAAAACTCGCACTTCTCGCGGCTTGCTCGTAGGCCATTTGCCTGTAGCCTCTTCAGTACTCCCTCCAGATTTTCAAGGTGCTCTTTGTCATCTTTTCCTCTGATAATCATGTCTAAGATGCAACTAGTTCTTTCGACCCCTTCTAAAATTTGATCCCTAGATCTCTGCCAAATTGCTGGGGCTGAAGTGATCCCGAATACCAGGCGGTTGTATCGGTACAACTCCTGATGGGTGTTAATCGTCAAGTACTCTTGTGACTCTTCCTCCACTTCCATCTGATGGTAGGCCTGTCGGAGGTCAATCTTGGTGAACTTCTGCCCTCCTGTTAGCTTAGCGAATATGTCATCGATGCGTGGGAGTGGGTACTCCTCTGTCTGAAGCTGAGGGTTAACTGTGGTCTTCTGGTCGCCACATATTCGAACTGTACCGTTTGATTTGGCAACTGGCACAATAGGCGTCGCCCAATTGCTGAATCTGACCTCGTGTAGTATGCCTTCTTTTTCTAGACGTTTCAGCTCCCCCTCGGCCTTAGGTTTCATGGCGTATGGGACAGGCCTTGCTTTACAAAACTTTGGTTGACTTCCTTCCTTCAACGCGAGTCTCGCCTTGGCTAGGGCGGCCAAATTGCGTAGTAATCCATACGTTTTGTTGCCCATTAAGCTTAGCATTACGGCCAATTGCTTGTTGTCCTTGATTTCGGCGATGAAGTATTGCTCTATACGTTCCACATAGTTCGTCGTCGTTCGTTTCGTCAAACACTTCAATCTTTCCAAACGGCATAGTGGCGAAAGCTCGAAGTTTCTCTGGTTGCTGCTCAGGATCTAAATCCTCGTCGCCAATCTGTTTTGACTCGCGGAATTGAATGAATCAAACTAGTACAACACAATAATGTTTAATCAAACATGGCGGTTTACATTCAACGACAAGCGCACATGGTATGCGTGCTTATAATAGTAACAAAACCGCAGACCTTCATGTGCGACATAGCAGGACCCCCCGGTCCAAATCCGCTAGCGATTGCAATAGTTTGTTCGCACCTAATTCTTGCGTATACTGTACGACTCGCTGTAAATGCGGTAGAATTGGAACGAAATGGCTCGTTGTTGTTGTTGTTTTTTTTAACCCTTATTGAGGAATGTTGTGTTGTTGCCAGTGTCCGGCCATGGTAAAGGTAGGGTTAAGTCGATTCCAAAAGCTGATAGGGGAATTGGCAAGCGTGTATCACAGATAGTACTCAAGATGTCTGAAAAATTCGTACAATCTGGCTTCGGTAAGTAGGCTACTTACCACCGTGAGCAAAATTAAGTCTCGAGTGGGAATTGGTCAATAGGCTACCAAAAAACACATAAATGTGCTGCACGTATCAGCACCCCCGGGGGGACCCTTAACATAAAAGGACGGGGGTGCGCGCCTGGAATTTCGAAAACGACCGCTCTAAAATTATAAAAGGTACTTAAGTCTTATCCGTGTGGGAGTGGCAACAATTAGCCTGTAAAAACAAGTATTTATGTCCTTTCCTGTCTTTTTCTATGCTTCCCTCGCTCCTAAAAAGGATCCATACAAATATGAGAGCCGTGCAGCGTTCACATTTGTATAGGTAGAAAAGGTCGTCCAGAATGAGTGTTTCGTTCTGTAATGAAAACCCCAATAAACTCACTCAGAAATGACTCGTTTCGAATAAATGTTACACTGGTTATTATGTGGCAACCGGTATGAACTCGTTCTTGTACAAAACTCATTTGGATATCATGTTAAAGGCCCAAAAAAATTTTTATTCGCAGAGCATCACGCTTTGTTCGCCTATCTGAGTACTATAAATTTCAATTGCGTAGAAGCAACAACCCGCTTTTAACTGCTTCGTTGCCGCTGAAACAACGCGTAGAGACCAAAAAAAGGACATATTTTAATATTTTCAATTCAACATAAACAAAAATCTTTATACATGGCAAATATTTATTTGTGTCGGTATCAATTTTTGGGTGACTAGCTTATGATATAAATGAGGGAGGGAAAACACAACGCAAAACCTGGGCTCCTGTCAAAAAGTAATACCCAGGCGTAATATTAACAATCGAAACGGCTAATAAAATCATAAATAAACAAGGTAAGAGTGTTATGTTAGTCTTTTTATAAATTGTAGTAATTTATGCCAGTTAACGGTGGCGGCAAGTAGGCGTGCCATGTATATTTCATAGTCGCTGTCAAGTAAATTTGCCAGATGAGGTAACCCAGCTCGGGTAATTTTCACGGTGAAAATTTGCATATTTGAGCGGTCGAACGAAAAAAGTCATTTCTCGAAAACTAAAATATATTTTCACAAAAAAGCTACACCACAATTATTAGAACATATTGGGCTACAAAATATAAAAGTAGGAGTGAAAACGAATTTTGGGCGACTTGCCAAAATATTTCAAATTTGTTCGATGGATACTGACATCCTCCCTTAAAGAAAATAAATTTGAAAAAAAATTCTGACGCGTCAGAAACCATTGATAATATTCTCACCCCTCTTCAGAATTCACGAGCGAGACACTGTGAATATTATTCGCTTGTGTAAATTTACGAGTTGCCTTGAAATCAACTTTGTTTTCAAAGTGTGTCGGCGTCCCCCTTTTATATCAACTTAAAGGTTAAAATGTATAATGTTCTTGATGTATTCTTGACTCTGGTGAAGCAGGGAATTGTTGAACTGAGCTGGTTGTAAAACGAAACTGAGAGAAGCAAATTAAAACGGGCTGAAAAAGTCGTTCGAATAAATTCAGATAATCGAAAGGATCCTTAAATTCTTCGTACGGATTTCATATCTTTTAGAACACGGGAAAAACAGCTACTCTAGACAATTAAAAATCGGAAAAAGATATGGTCTTCATGTGCTGCTTGCCCTGTCATATCTCACCTGTAAACAAGCTCTTTTTCAATAACAGCCACTGTAAGTAAATGAAAAACCGCAGTGGCACTTCTCTAAAAGGGCGAATAGCTTTCTTCTGTGGATAGCGGAAGTAGAAAGAAATAATCCATAATTTTTGCGAGCTCATTTATATTTTGGCAGTATGCTCAAAAGTTGACAACTCCATTAGAAGCTGGCCAGGTACAAAAATAGTTCTACCTTCTCGATGTAGTCTGGGAGCATATGTCAAGAATCAGAGAAAAATTTTGCCAAAAACAGGAACCACGTATCTAGTTATGATGACAAGACTCTGTACCTTGAATCTATAGCCGCTACGGTATAAACCAGCATGGTAACGAGGCTGGGCCTTAAAATAACACAGCGGTCAAACGTCAGTCGTGCGTGACAGGATCAATTCTGGCAGGCCGCACCCTAATTTCCCCGCGCAAACATCAAAGGAAAACACAAGAAACAACCGCTGTCTCGCCTGAATAAGCGAAAAAAAAGAAATGTTCACAGAATCTGTGAAAGGAAACAAAACTAGGGAAAAGGAAATCTCAAGACTTCTCGAACATGTATCTTATTCAAGTACGGGCAACCCTGTTGATTTACCATAAAAGTACTAAATACTAATTCAAACTGAATAAAAAGGGTTGTTCATGCATTAAACCAAATATAAAACAGCTGCATCAATACAGAGCTTTCTGGCTAAAATCGTAATAACGCTTCTAGCACTAAAAATTGGCTAATTAGTTTGACGGTGCATGGAAATGGATGAGCATCGCTCAGCAAATTGCTTCATGTTGACACAGTCTCCGACTATTAATATTAAATGAATGCAAGTCGAAATCCTGGAAGGATCGGCTTCACTTTGCTTCAAACTGCGCTCCCCGTTGCTTCAGGGTAGATTGCCAGAAAAAAGCGTTTTGACGTTCTCCGTCTAAGGTAGGATCGTGAATTAGATAAAACTAACTTTCGATATGTGTTGTTAAGCAATTTGCCTCATGTGGACAGAGTCACTGTACTATTAATATTTAATGAATCAAAGTCGAAATGCTCGTGGGATTAACTTTTGCTTTCAAGGTAAATTTCCAAATACGTTTTGATTTCCTCCAACTTAGGTAAGATCACAAATTACTAAAACTCAGCAAATCTTAAAATCAACGTTCACAATTACTTAAAAAAAAAAAACCTCCCTTTGGCGCTTATCTCTTTGTGATTAAAACTCATCTTTTATACTATTTTACCATATTTTCACAACCGTTGTATGCTTTTTCTCCGCAGTGGGCTTCGAGATTTTACAAAGAATTTGAAAGTCTTCTTTTGATCACGTAAGTTGAACATTCCGCAATGTTCTTATTTTATTACGAGCAGGTCAAATCTTGCGAGTCATATTAGAATCACTTTACTGGTAACCTACTATTTGTGGCCCTACAACTTGTGGCCATTTAAATGCTCTGTCAGACTGGTTGTGTCACAGATTCCAAATTCTAGAGACGAATTACAGATATGGATCATATCAGGATAGTAACCATTTCCTTGTTCTTTATCATTATTAT